CCTTAGGGTTGCGTTCCCCGCGCCCAAGCGGTAGACAATTTGTCGTAGGCTTATTTGATATAGCACTAACCCAATCGACACCTCGACCTGTGGAGGTTGAGGGGTTTCTAATATTTTTAGGCTCTTTTTATTCGCGCGTCATGCCAAGGTACACGACATGTACTTTTTCAGACTTGGCCACTTTTCGCCACAAAGGTGGGTGTGTATGCCTGTTTTTACTGATCCGAACCTTCGACCTTTGTGGTTGAGTGACACTACCACTGATCCTAACCATTTTAGTGTGCTTCGGAATAACGCATGTGCGTACTAACCGTACTTATCGATAAGCCTCGACCTCAATGGTCGAGAAAATCGTCTCGAAGTTCCATGCAAAAGCGCGTATACTTTTAAAGATAAGACCGACTGCGCCATGCGACTGTAAAAACATGGCCATATACCCTTGTAAGGGCATTTGGTCTGACAGGGCGGCGTTGGAGGGGGGGATCTTTCCTTGCCCTCGCCACCTGGTGTTGTTGCCATCACTATTCTACTGTGTACCGCACACGACGCGGAGGCGCAGCCCGGAGGGAGGGAGGACCATGTCGCAGAACCTCTACGCACGTGCATCCGCTTCTCAACTTCTTTTTTCCTTTTTTTGTGGAACGCCTCTCAACTTCTGCACATATGCCGCCTCGTTTACCCCACCAGCGAATAGCATAGCAACGGATGCATCTTACCGCTTTCTGCGGAAAGATGCATTCATTCTCTTTTCGTTTGGACAATGGTGTGGCAAGGCCTGGCTTTTAGACAGAAAAAAAGGCCCATACTGTTACCGTGACTACTGATGCCCGCTCCACCGGCCTCAACATCCATCGCCTCCTTTCCCACCCGCGGCCTTTGACCGACCCCCCAGTGCCCGACCATTTCATTTCCTCGCCCGCTTAGACGGCCTTTGAAATTCGCATTCGCATCACATTACACCCCATCATACCCCAGCGGACCTTCCCGAAAAGGAAAACCGGCCGCCGTCCACGAAAAGGCCCGCACAACCGCCTCCGCCTACCACCGGTTCCCGTCTCCTCACACCGGCCCTGTGACCGGTCCCTCTCGCCACAGCGACCGCATCCTTCCGGCCGACCACTCCCACCCCGATAAGCCCCGCTTCGCATGAATTCGCATGGAAAACTGTGAATGACATTTCCACAAAAGGGCGTTCCCGCTGCGCGCCAAAACGCAACCGGGTATAGCGCAGCCTCCTGGATGCGAACTCTAACCTTCAAGGTTGACTCCCACGTTACCAGGAGGCCAATTTTTGCGGCCCCCTGCTACCAGGAGGCCCATTTGTTTTTCGTTTGCAGGTGCTACCGGTCCCCCGAATTCCCATGCGGCCTGAGCGTATTGTCCAAGAAATAATCCACCCCCTGGTTTTCCGATGAACTCTGGGGCCCGGCCCTAAGCTCACCTGCTAAGCTCGCTCATGAGCCAGTTGATTGCCAGCAGTGCAGATCGATGTGTCTTGAGGATGGCAATCAATTGGTCCAGATGTGAGTTTGGGCCATTCATTGAGGTTCCCATCACCTAGATTCCTCGTTTCCAACCGCAGATTACGAGGATCGACGGCCTGAAGCCTGGAGTCCAGGTAAGCGGTGGGCCTCGCCTCGTGGTAGCGGGTGTTGCCAGTACGTCCTTTCCGTCACAACGACCACCACTTGACACCCCTTTTTCCTTTTTTGCTTTTTCGGAGTTTTGGCGTCTGGATGATGTCTCGTTGTGTGTCATCGATTCGCAGCGGCTATGTACCATCTCTTCTCTGCATCGTATCGTTCGAATTTTAACGGATGTCCCGAACGACGGTCGATTCGCCTGTTCGGTTTGCTCGATCGTTTGGTCCGTGTGCCGGTTGTGACGGGAACCTACGGTAGGGCCGACAGGAGGTGCAGCGGGGCGGGCGGGCGGGCGGCCGCCCAAGTTCGCGAGCTTGCGAGCCAACGGGCGGGGAGACTGCAGCCGGGCTCATCGTGAGTTGCGTTGAACGGCGTGACAGCGCGGGGCGGGTCGGGGAGGTGCAGTGCAAGACGAAAGACAAATGCGCGAACGGTCGTTAGGCTGGTAGAACTGTGGTGTGGTGAGCAAGTGGAGCGAAATCCCGCACCACATTTTATTTGTGCGCAGCAGCTCTACCAGCTCGTCCGTTGTGGCGGGGTAGGCTGGCTACCGGCGCGTGCCTCCTGCATCTGTACCCCGCTGAATTGATTTCTTGTTTTGCCACGCGACACAGGTAGGTCGGTGGGTGTACTGGGCGGCGCCGAGGGCGCAAACATTCCTGGTGTGCGCGAGTGTATTGTGTGTCGCCGGCTGGCGGTTGTATCCTCGCACGCTGCAGCAGGGGGATCAGAAGGTTTGTCTCCACGAGTGTGTTGCGCGGGTGGCCAGCGGGGGTATCAGGCAAGCGAGCTCGGCGTTGCGTCGAAGGTGGTCAGGAGCAGGTGTGCGGGGGGGCATGCGCTCTGTGTGGAGTTTTTGGAAATCCCGTTCCTGGCGCGCCACAGTCGCTCGAGACGCTGACGCTGTTTGTTGCGGAGGGGAAGTAGCAAGAGAAGAGGGGATCAGCGCGGGGCGGGTTGTGGCTGATCCGCCGTTGCTGTGGGTGACAAGTTTCCTGGTATTGTTGCTGGTGGGAAATGGGATGTCGTTTTTGTGCTTGGTGACTGACTGACTGACTGACAGCTGCCGGCGCCTTCGAGGTGTCTGTCTACATAGTCTGCGCGCTCATTTTTCGCGAGCGACTCTTTTGCTGAAAATGACAAGGAACATCCCAACTGCCATCGCCGCAGCTCTGCGTCCCAGTGTTTGCGCGCATGCTCTGTCTCATCATTGCTGCCTGTCGCCAACTCTTCGATCGTTGAGGGATCGTCGAGGTGCTATTGTAGTGCCGCCTGCTTCCTTGTCGGGCTCTGTACGAGCGCACCAGGGCGGCCAATAACTCTTATTGGGCCCATTCTGTCCTTTTTCTTCTTGTCCGCCGCATCTCATCGCTTCATTTCCTCCACTCCATTCCTTCTCTCGCCATCCACTTTCTCTCCTCGATTCTCCGCTTTCGCTTTCCCTTTCTCCCCTTTTCGATAATCCGGAGCGGGACCGGATTCCCGCGCAAGAAGGCGATTCGGCGGAGTGGCGGCGGCGATGGCGGAGTCTGCTGCGGAGAGCGCTGCAGCTCCCGAGCTGGCCGCCAACGGCGTCGCGGCGAAGGTTGCGGCGGACGGCGGCGGGAAACCTGCGGCTACTGCGTCCGCGGCAGCAGCAGCAGCAGCAGCAGAGGATCCGACCTCAGGTGCTGTTCATGGTGATGTGAAGACGATTGGGAAGCCTGGGGATAGTGCCGTGGAGGTGGCAGCGGCGGGAAGCGGAGGAGAAGGTGAAGGGAAATCAGCGGCAGTAACAGAATCTGTGGCGGCGGCGATGGACATGGATGTGGAGGGTGCGCCAGCGGAAGCCGCGGCGGCGGCGACGGCGGCGGCGGAGAGCAAAGAAACCAAGGACCAGAGAATGGGCCAGGAAGCGATGGTAGTTGACACACCCGCGAAGAAGGCGAGGGCAGAGTCGTCTCCGGAGGGCAAGGAAAGCCCCGCCTCCGACGTCGCAGCGGGGGATCCGCAGAAGCCGGAGGAAGAAGACAAAGATGTTGAAAAGATGAAGGACGAAGCGAAGGTGGAGGAAAATGGGGGCGATGGCGAGGAAGACAGTCGGAAGGGGAACGCGGAAGAAGCAAAACCAGCCAGCGCGGGGAAAAGAGGCCGGAAGCGCAAGAGCCCTTTGGGCTCTTCGTCGCCTATAGCGCCTCCGTCTCCGTTATCCCCAGAGAGGACCAGGCCGACAAGGGAGCGGAAACGAGCGGAAAGATACGAGGTGGAGGACCGGAGAGACAAAAATGATACCCCGCTTGAGATTAAACAGGTCAGATGAGAATGGTATCCCCCTTCTCGCTTCTCTCTCTCTCTCTCACGCGCGTCAGGTGCGGAAAGACTTGTTGATTACAGAGGGAACCTTTGCACGAGGCAGTGTATAGTGTATAATCTGAGGGACAAAATACCTAACCACCTCCCGCAAAGCTATCTCCACACACCTGTTAGTTGGTTTCTGTAGTATTCCAAGTCCAGTCTTGTCTCAAGACTGGGGGGTTAGAGATATGCTGCGGCCTGTGCAGCTGTTGGGGCGGGGCAGACAGGCAGGTGCTACGGGTGCATCAGAAAGGAGGGAAGGGGGACTTAAGCGTCGAACTATGCGCGAACATTCGTCTCCCCGCACGATTACGAAGTGAAGAAGAAGAAGAGGTTATATGCAGTGAAGAAGAAGAGGAGGGAGCTCGGTGTAGAGCACATACAAGCACGACAATTAGGTCAGCCGTTGGAACGACTCGGCATCGCGGTTAACGATGAGCCCTGTCTATATCGTCATTCTGCATCCCTACCGCTCTGTCGTAGGGATTGTTCTCGTGGGCTTCATTTCACATTGCTCATGCCTGTCTTTCTTTGCTCCTCTTTATCATCATGGCGCTGTTACCTTTTCTTCTCTTCTACCACTTCATTTCTCCCTGCCCGTTTTCTTTTTTTGAAGGAGTTTATTTATTGCACCTCCCTTTACGTGTTCTTTTGCGTTTCCAGCCAGTTTTCGTCCTCGCTTCTTCCGCTAGTTGTCTTTATATTCGAGAACGCACCCGCGTACCCATTTTCTGCCCACTAGCGAACTGCCCTCCGGTCTCGTCGTCCAGTGCAGTCCATCACTCCACCTGCCCCCGGCGAACCCCTCCTTCACCCCACACACACGCTCCACAGCACCTCCTTCCTTTCCCCTCATACGCACTCCCCTTCACACCGCGCGCGTTGACGGCTCTCTGCATTCTTAGCCCTCTTCTTCGTGGATTTTCATTTTTTTTTTTGTTTGCTTTTGATCTCCATTCCTCCTTTTCCCATTTTGCTCGTTTACCGTATGGCTCTTTGCCCCTTCGGTCTTCTTTGCTCGCGCGCTGCTGTCTTGTCCTTCTTTCCCTGAACACGACAACGCGAGCAATTCCTCTCGTTCGCGAGTATATTGGAACTGTCTTCTTCGTCTGATACTGTCATTATGAGAGTGAGTTGTGTTCGGAGGAAGACGGGTAGTTCTCCTTGATCCGCCATTCCTCTCGTGTGCCGCCCCCTGCGCCCCGCCCATAACCTTCTGCCCGCGTTCGCTGCGATTTAGACCCCTCGCCTTCTTATGGGTTTCGCTCTCAGTGGGTAACGGATTCTTTTTTCTTCTTCCAATCCGTTCGTTCTTCCTGTGCTCTTTTCTATTTGTCGGCCAATTTCGCTTTTTTTTTTTACTTTTGTATTATTGTAATAATATATTCATCACATTTACTTATTTATCTCTTGCCTAGTTGTTCTCCTCGTCCTCCTTGATCTTTGGCTGTCACGCAGTCATACCACTAGCGGCTCCCTGGCCCGCTCGTGCATTGCTTCTGTTGTTGATCACAGCTGTGAACTTTTTTTGTTCGTTTTTCTTCTTAACAGCCTGCCGCTAGCTGTCTACTTTCTCCTTTTTGTTTTTGGTTCAATTGCTCTGACGTTTACCCTCAGTTTGTTCGTCTCGCATGCTTTTGACAGTTGTTTTCGTTTTTTTTTTAAGTGACCATTATGCAACTACCCCTCAGTTTGTCCTTCTTGCACGCTTCACTTTTCTCACAGCCTTTGATCCTTCTTGCATGCGTCGTCTTTCTCATAATAGCTTTCTCTCCCGCGTCCAGTCGTGTGCTGGTCTATTTACTTGTTTACTTGATTCGCGGATGGACCCTCTTTAGCCTGTAGTAGGTAAACGGACTCTGCTCCCGTTCTTCGCCTTCCCTCCCTAGGTAAATCACCTTCAGTAAATCGCCTTCTCTACCCCACGTATTGCACTTGGCCGTAGGTATCTAATAAAATAGCGAAGTCGTCCGAGCCAATGGCTGTTAGGTGCACCCCGCCTTTTTTTTTTTTTTTTTTGGACACCCCGACTTTCGTCTTGTTTGCGCAGGAGGGTGTAGTTTATTTTGGAACTGAGTGCCACTCTCTCGTCCTCTTTGGACCCTGCTTGCTGCTTCTCTATGACACCCATATATACACCTAAAGATGACTTTCGGGACTTTGCCAAGGTGGTGTTTCTCTATCTCAACGTTTCTTTGCTGTTGATGAAGAGCCTATGGGTGTCTACTCTGGCCGTCATTTACGAGTACAGTCTCTTGAGCCAAGAGTGCCCCCGAGCCATCACGCCGGTTCTCCGTCCTGTCCTCGTCGACCCCTTTTGATCGTTAAGCCAGCAGCAGCACGACTGCCAGCTATTCATTCTATTTTGTTTCTACGCGGCGTTTAACGAGCCGGGTCCTTCTGGGCGCGAGCTAGCGAACGGAACGGAAAGGGCTGGGTCCCCAGGCAAAACGATAAGATTTCAGAAGTCGGCATCGTAAAGAGAGGCGTTGAAGTGTTTTTTTTTTTTTTTTTTTTTTTTTTTTGAAGTGCTGATGGTTTAAAAATGCTGCTGACGGCATCCTCCTAGAACTCTTTGATCATTATCAACGAGTTTTTTTTTTTTTTTTTTTTGAAGTGCTTGTGTGGCCTTGTCGACAGGTCATCGAGCGCCGTAATACGTAAATCTTCCTCTCTCTGTCGGAATTCCCTCTCTGCAATATCGTACTTCGGGGCAAATGCAGCTCTGCTCAATAATCTTGGTTCACTTGTTCTACCCTCCTTGTAGTACATTTCCCCTTCCAGCGCACTGCGCGGAGGTTTTCTTCTTGGTATCTTTTTCTCGACGACGTCTCTTTCTTTCCCCTTACTCCACCTCCCCTCCTTTGGTCTGTCTATGCCTCTTCGGCCCCTTGCCCGCTCTCATCAGCTTTATATTTACACATCCTCGTCTCCCTCACTACGCCTGTGGCGATGTCGTTTGCTCTTTTTTCTCCACTCTTAGTTTCTACCTTTTTTTTCTCCCTCGTCATCTCTCCCACTGTTCTTCTCTCTCTCCGTCCCCCGCACCCTTCTCTCCCTATTCTCTCTCCTGCCGTGTTACCTCTCCTCCCTCTCCCTCGCTCTCCTTGCCAGTTCCCCCTCCTCTCTCCGTGTCAGTGTCCCCTCCTCCCTCCTTGCCAGTGCCCCCTCCTCTCTCCTTGTCAGTGTCCCCTACTCCCTTCTTGCTAGTGCTTCCTCCTCTCTCCTTGCCTGTGTCTGTGGATCTTGTTGTCCGTTGGGCTGTCCTCAGCAGGTCTCTCTCATTTGTTTTCGCGTCTTCTGCGTCTGCTGACCTTCCCCCCCTTTCTCTCCCCCATTCTCTTCTTATCTTGTTCTTGATCTGTGTGGTCGTGATGCGACGACTCGGCCGTCAGCAATCTGTTAGGGTAAAGAATGTAAATGCTTTCGAGGGTTGTATGGGGCCTCGACGCACCACTCACCAAACTCCTACATTTTGAATGTACGGGGATCACTCTCAGGTTCGGGTACATTCAGAATATTGGCGTGTGGTTAGTGGTGCGTAGAGGCCCTCAGAACGCTGAGGTATACCATCGATTACATAGGATATAGTTGCTACGAGCTTCCTCCTGCTAACTAGTCTCTTTTATTTGTTTTTTATTAAATATGTTGCTCGGTACGCATATAAAGGCCTAGATGTATGCATAGGAACGATTGCTTTTTCGAAAATAAGGCGTATGGCATAGTTAAGGAGGAGGTAAGTAGTTTGTCGGCACATCTGCGAGGACTTCTCCTCCACCGCCTCCCCCCCCCTCCCCCCCTCCCCCCGGCGGGGGGCTCCCCACCCCCTACCGCCCAGTCCGGGAGTTTTTATTTTTTGAGGAAAAGAGAGGAGTTTGCCACGGCATTTAGCAAAAGAAAGAAAGGCGTTTCGCTCGAAGGGAAGAGTTTGGCTGCCCCGGAGTGCACTACGGCAGTTGTTTTTAAACTCCATTTTATCATTTTTTCCCCCTTCTTAACCCCGGTTGTTGGGGTTTACTTCTTTCCCTCAGTGCAGTAGCAGGTAGGTGGTTGTAGGTGATTTGTTTTGTTCGCGGCGATGGAGGAAACTTCTTGAACATGTGAAACGGGCCAGAGTTGGCAGGCAGGCGGGTTGCCTGCATTTTCTGTTTTTAATCTTTTAGATTTTCAGAAGATGGGAATTTTGGCGGTTGCAGCTTGAGTGCAGCTAGAGCTATGGGGATGGCGGGATGGGGAGTGCGTGCTTCTTGTTGCCATGGTAAATGATCATGACGATGGCGGCCATGCCTGGGTTACGGGGAAGTGTTTTCTCTTCCCCCCCCCCCACCTCCCTGGGGGTTCCTTTTGATTGGCGGATCCCACCACACCAAACCCTGATAGCGTGAAGGGGATACGGGTAGCTATAATCGTTGTCGACTTTCCGTCTTCGTCTAACTAATACAGCGAAGAATTAGCTGCCCGGTAAACCGTACCTTCTTCCCCCGAATACAACGTACGGTCATTATAGCTGTATTTGCGGCATCTTTCAGTCTAGATACAGCTAATGACCGTACGTTGTATTCGGGGGAAGAAGGTAGTAGGCAGAGAGGGAGGTAGAAGAGGACAACAAACGAGGGGCTGTGACAAATTGTTTCGTCGGAGTTTATATATATTGTCACATGATATCAGAGCGCCTAAGCGAAAAAACCAAAAAAAAACAAAAAAATCTTGAATTCGTTTTTAATCTTCTTCCTTACAACTCCCCCCTATATGTGACAATTATAAATTATGTAATAGTTCGGCAAGACACTTTGGTAATAGTTGTCGTCAGCATCATCTCGCGGCCGTCACAGGCGTGCAGAGCGAATATTGGGGGGGGGCAAGGGGACGGTGCGATGTAGCACACGCTATAAGGCAGATGATCCCTGCGTTCTGTCGTTGTCATGTGTACTTTGTGGGGCCTCGGCGCACTGCTCACCAAATGAATGGAAGGCAGATTCTGTATCTTCAGCTACAACGTCGCAAGATCCACCGGCCACTGTTTTTGTCTTTGCCACATTTGCTGAGTGGTGCGGCGAGGGCCATTTTCACATCGATCTGGCTTCGTGATGTATAACTCCCCTTCGGGGCTTGCCACACCCCTTCGGCCATTTTGAATGTATTTTGGACCTGGACTTATGCAGTATGTTCAAAATGTTTCCGTTTGGCCAATGCGGCGAGCTCATTTCTCTTTGGAAGTATGTTTCCCCGTGGAACGTAGCTGCAAAGCGGACGTACAGGCATGTTTACAACCAAGCGGCAGCTTGGCAGCTGAAAGGGGGAGGTGGCGAGCTAGTAGTAATACTACCGTCTTCCCCCGAATTTAACGCACCCTGAAAATGAACGTATACAAGCTATATTTCCGGTCCGGTACAGCCAAGATAAGGGTGCGTTGTGTTCGGGCGAAGACGGTAGTAGTTAACGGAGTCGGGACGGTCATCGTCCGTCCACGTGCACACGACCGGCGGGTCCGTTATCATTCGAGAGCAATCCAGAGCGGTTGAGTGGGTTCCTACTGTTCGGGGAATTAAAGGCCTAGTAGTCGCACTACTCGCCATCCGCCAGCATTTTGAATGCATGTGGACATGATGTTGTCCAGATGCATTCAAAATTTTGCCGGATGGCGAGTGGTGCAACTAGGCCCTACTTCTCCGCGTGCGCACCGGTTTCTCCCGTCGTCGGTTGGCAGTGGCACTTGAGAGGAGTACCGGGATATCGGTGGAGCAAGTCCAATCGGACAAGAGGGGTTGGATAGGACTTCAGTTGAATGTGTCTGGACATAATCACGACCAGGTTGGTTAAGCGGAAGGAGTCAATCGAACGTCCTCGTTGGGCGGGTACTCTACTCTATGAGGGCATGCTCGGGGTATGCAGGACTTAAGTTGAACGCATCTGGACATTATTCTGGTCAGATGCGATGTATAAAAAGTCTTGGGTAAGTAGACCGGTTGCTGCGATCATCATTATCAGTTATACTTTCTCAATTCCCCGCCCGCCCCCCCTCCCGTCCACCCTGCCCCACCACCTCTTGCCCCCACACCCTCCTCGATAGAGTACACGATCATCATTGCTGTCTGTATTTACACCGGAAGTTGCGCCCATGTGCAGTTGTGATGGCCGTGCGTTCTATTCGGTGGAAGACGGCGGCTAAGGTTAGGCGGGAAAATGAAATCGCTTCGGAAGGTGATTTGCTGTCGTTCTTGTCTACGTCTTCCCCTGGTTGGTAGTTTGTGACCAAGTGTGAAGAACTGCGTGTGCGTGTACGTCCTGCGAGTGTGGGTGCCTTTCTCTTTCCATAATTCTTGAACGATGTTTTCCGCGTTTTGGGAATGTGCAAGTGTGAGGATGCCCTAACTTTCGGAGCACGCGAGTGTATTTAGACTGAAAATGCCCCCAAATACAGCGTCTCGCGCCGTGGCCATAGAAGAAGTGGTAAGTACGTCAAGTGCTTGGTACCTTCTTCCCCCGAATACAACGTACGGTCATTAGAGCTGTATTTGGGGTATTTTTCAGTCTAAATACAGCTATAATGACCGCACGTTGTATTCGGGGGAAGAAGGTAGTGTATCAACTTTTTCTTGTCTGGCTGTATACATTTTTGCAAGACTATTTCTGGCCAGGCATACTTCGTAGGCAAAGAATATATGTATGCGTTAAAAAAAAAGAATTTGAGAAAATCGCCGGCCAGACATGTAAGTGTTTCTTTTTTTTGGGGGGGGGGAAGAGAGAGAGAGAGAGAGAGAGAGATTCTTCTGACGATATCCGTGTGAGGAAAGCTTGCGTATTGGGACAACTCTTGGAATTCGGGAAAAGGGGTGATGGATATGGGTCGTCAGGTTGGTGCTTATGTACATAGGGCGAGTGAGAGAGAGAGAGAGAGAGAGAGAGAGAGAGAGAGAGAGAGAGAGATTACGTTGGAGACGGTGATAGATTGTGACTCGGAGTTGTGACAGGAAGGCGGTTCTAACGCATGAGTTGACCTCTTTTTGTTTGTGGGCGCGTAGGCGTTCAGTCTTAGTGGGTTGGTCGAGCCTCCTGAACGTGGGCCTCGCTGCACCAGTGAGGAAATGTGAAAGGGTCAAAAGCTATGGTGGCGGGTGTATCTTTCCACGCGCTGCGGGAATATACGTTCTCCACGCCGCACATTTGGTGAGCAGTGCGGCGAGGCTGCATATCTGTAGATCGCTGTGGAAAGGGAATAGGTGGATTTAGCGTAATGAATTCGGCAGGCGGTTTATGGGCCTCGCTAGCGCCACTGCACAACATTCAATATGTATGTGCAGCTGGAAATGGTCCCGATTCATTCGAAATGCTTAATCGGTCCGATTTTATCTGGCTGGGAACACATTGCAAGTACATGCGGAAGGTTTGAGCAGTGGGGCGAGGTCTTCTATGTCGTTTTTTTTTTTGCCTTTTCTCTTGCGAGGACCATTTGTTTTCAGTTGATGACATCATTCTACCACGTCGAAGCTCACAGTATGGCGTGCAAGGACATCTTGAATGTATTCGTCCCATTTTCAGGTCCGGGTGGATTTTTAGAAGGTCGTGTAATCCAGCGACGGCGAATCACTTCTCTTGTCATGCAGTTGCGCCTCACGGCTTTCTTTCTTCTTCTGTTTTTTTTTTTTTTTTTTTCGAGTAAGGACATCGCCCCACCATTCTGGAAATGTGCAAAATGAGAATGAACTTCCCGTTAGAACATGGCCAGATGCCCCCGCCACATTTTTGTCTTTTTCACATTTCGAGAGTGGTGTGGCGAGGCCCTACCTCGTCGATTACGCAGTAGAGAACGAGGGATCGGTCTCCCCACAAAGGGCCAGATTCCACTAGCCCCTATTATTCATTTCTGACCGTTGATCTTCGTAATCGAGGGTGAAGAATGAATAATCCAGAGCGGTGGGATCTGACCCTAGGACCGCGACCGGGAGTAATACCCAGCTTCGCTTTTTGAGAGAGCTGACGGATTTCTTGTCGTTTGTTGTCTTGTTTGTTGTGTGCAGGGAAAAGGGACGGCCTTCAAGGATATTCCTAACGGTAGGGTTTGGCTTTTTTTTATTTTTTTTATTTTGTAATTTTAAGGTTTAGCTGATTCAAGCCTACGCTCGGTTGCCTTCGTCGTAGTTAGCTATCAGAAATGACGATGGGTGCTGAACTCTTTTGTGGATGGAAAAAGTAGTCATAACATAGGATTTAAAGGAATGTGCATGTGACTAGAATGACGTCCAGATTCAGTCGAAAGTCCAAGAGGGAGGTTTGCCTGTGTTCATGAAACGAGGGGTGGAGGCGTTTTGGGAGGGAGAGGAGAGAGAGAGGAAGGATGGTGTTTAAAGGAAAGTCGGAGCGGGGTGGGGTTTGTCAACTACCATGGATGGCTTGTGACAATTGGATTATCTGTGGGATGTGTCATTTGCTTTGTTTCCCTGTCAGGAGGTTTCCTCCTTTTCTTTACCTCTTTGCCTTTTGGTTGCGTACAAGTGGGTCCTTGTGACACACGGGGATGGGGGCAGCCAGCGCTCAACCTGTCACTCAACCTGTCATCCACGTGGCTGGCCTTGTACGTAAGAGGTGATGAACAGGTGGGGCTTTCCTTCCTTCTTTTCCTCTCCTTGTTTTGCCTTTTTCCGCCTTTGCACTCCGATTCACAGTGTGACAATACACATATATATGTATATATATAAATATATATCGTCAAACAGAGCTGCCCTGTAAACCGTAGGCAGCAGAGAGGGAGGGAGAAGAGGACAACAAACGAGGTTCTGTGACAAACTGTTTCGTCGGAGTTATATATTATGTATGTATGGGACTCGCCGCAGCATTCACGAAATGTGCAACAGGCAAAAGTTATGGCTGTGTATCTTTGCATGTATCTACAGAAGACGTCTAGATAAATTCGCCGCAATTCATGGTGGTTGAGCTTCGCACAGAAGAGGCTCTCGGTGTTCTTCAGGATGAATATTCACTCTCATGGCATACTCACACTAGGGCGTTTTCCACTTTCTGTGGATGGAATTGCCGTCAGATGCATCCAGGAATGGGTAATTGCAGTCAGATACATTCAGGAAAGTGCTCGTGTGAGTATGCCCTTATTTTGCACATATGGTGAGTGGTGCGGGGAGGCTGTATATGTAAGCGGCCTCGCTCCACTACTCTCCCAATTTGCGAAAGGAGAACGAATCTTCCGCTAGAACATGGAACTGTGCACCACCACCATATTTTTGTCTTTTGTGCATGTGGAGAGTAGTTGGAGCAAAGCCGCCTATATATTTAAGCGGGGCTGGCTGCGGTATTAAAAAGCTTTGCTGTTGATGGATGCATTCGTATTTGTGTATGCCTGATCAATTGCGAACATACACACACACACACACACACACACACACACACAAACAGGGTTCAATTCCTCGCTTCTCCCCCCCCCAAAAAAACAGGGTTCAACCTCCTGATGAGTCGGTGAAAGTCCGACGAAACAGTCTGTTCGGCACGGTAATGCTTTTTTTTGAGTGTATAGCGAATATGACAACACACACAAAAAAGGGTAAGAGCAGACTCACACTAGAACGTTTTGGACCAAGTTGTGGGCATAATTGCGGTCAGATACATCCAGATTTGTACAATTCTGGTCAGATACATCCAGGGACGTCCTAGTGTGAGTATGCCTCTAAAAAAAGAAAAGGAAAAAAAAGAGAATTAAAAAGGAAAAAAAAAGAAAAGAGCATGCTACGTTATGGGCCTAATTCCGGCCAGATTCATCAAGGGCTTTGCTCAGCCATTAATTTAATGGGAACGAATCTTCCGCTGCAACATTCAATGATGATGAGTCGCCGTATTTTTTATCGTTTGTGCATGCGGTGAGTGGTGGAGCGACGCCCTAATTTGCTGTCTATTCGATTTTTTTTATTTATTTTTTTGGGTGGGTGGGTGGGTGGGTGGGTGGGTGGGTTGGGGGTTGGGGGGAAAGCAAGGAATCCAATATCATGATGAAAACATGAGGCGGGGAATTCCTCACAAACAACCTGGGGAGAAAAGCACAGTCACAGGGCCTCGCTGCACTACTCTCCAAATGTGCAAAATCAGAATGAATCTTCCCCTAGAACGTGGAAAGATACATCACCATATCTTTTGTCTTTTGTGCATATGGAGTAGTGCAGCCAGGCCCACAGGCTGGGACCATTTCCCAATTTCTGTTCGTGGGATTAACCCAGCAACACTTGGGGCGTCGCCGCATGGGAGGCGAACGAAACGTAAAATGAAACGAGTGCATCTTCCTGCAGAAAATGGCCAGGTTCATCGGTTTGCTATAAGCAGTAACGAGTGTATTTTGCCACCTTCCGTGAGCAGATGCACTCGTTTCGTTTTCGTTTCGTGTGCTGTGTGCCGTGCAGCGAAACCCTTGGCGGAGGAGCCATTCCTACTCTGCGGGCATTTAGCCCGAACAATAACTAAACAGTCGTTAAAATTCAACAAAACTGAGTCCAATAAAGAGCAAACGCGAAAAATAATAAACAAGCAACTTCTCTCTCTCCCTCCCCTCGCCTACTCTAACCTACCCTCTTCCCCCTATCCTATGATTACTTAGCTCAGTCTAACGTCACCGAGTGGGTCTATCCCATTTGGTAATACACAACTATGCTTATGTATTTCCCAGGTAACCCATCCCAGTACTAATCCTGTCCAACGGGGGTTGGCTTCCAAAATGGGGTTGGCTTCCAAAATTGGATGAAATCGGGCGCCGCATTAGCCCTGTGGCATGACCGTACCGTTCTGACCGTACCGTTTTGACCGTACTGTTGTGTTCATTTACGTGGGTTTACCGGGCAGTCGTCCATGAATGCAATAGATAGGGCCTCGCTCCACTACGGAACACTCTACAGGTACCTGGATCGGTTAATCGTCCAGATGCATTCGTAATGTTGGCCGACTCCCAATGCATCTGGTCCAGAAAGGTGTGCAACTGCATGTAGAGTGTTGAGTAGTGGAGCCAGGCCTATAGGGGTTCGGCCTGCGTGATGAGTTGAAACCCGAACGGAATGTCCTTTCGGGACATCGGTTAAAATTGGAACGATACAGAGAAGGGGAAGATTATTAGCATGGCCCATGCGTGAGGATGGCACACATAAATCAAGAAATGGTCAAAATTACGGGAAAAAAAAACCAAACCGAACGGAACAGAGCCTCGCCACACCACTCCAGGGTCCAGGGCCCACTGGCAGCGTTGAATTTTCCTCAACACCCGAATCTGGATGTGTTTGTGGAGATGTGTGGTTGAGGAAAGTGAATGCAATTTTCTGCACATCTCCACAACACACGTCCAGATTCGGATGTCAGAGGAAATTCAACGCTGCCCCCGGAATGTGCAAAATGGATCATGTATCTTCTGCAAAAACGTGGAAACATGCGCCCGCCATAGGGTTTGTCTTTGTCACATTCCGTGAGCCGATGCCCACAGTCTGTCCCAGACCCACGTTTCTTGTCCTGTTTTTTTTTTTTTTTTCCTTCTTTTTCAAAATAGGGATGCGAGGCTCCGTGCTGCTTTCTTGTTTTTTCTCAATTTGTTTTTTTTTTTTTAATTACTCAGGGAGGTGCCGCCGAGATTAGAGGATGGGAAGAAGAGTGGTTGATACTGGGGAAATTTAGTTATATTACGGGAAATTTACTCGCCTAATTGTTAGTGGTGACCAAATAGGTTTTGAGGGGTATATTTAGTTGGTGGGAGGAGAAGATCTGTTTGGTAGGCTATGGAAGGGATAGCCTAACCTAAGAGAGGGGGGAGAAACGCCGCCAAAGGCGTGGTAGAGAACACTGTGGAATTGAAGACTTGATAGGTCAGACGAAATGGGGGGTAAGAGGAAGATTTACAAACGTTGCGGGACTGTAGGCAGACGAGAAATGGGTGGCTGTTTATCCGACTGCTGAGAGGAAGAAAGGTTGGTATCGGGTTACTATCTGTGGATTGGTGAAGAGGATAGGAGTGCTAGGGGATAGTGGAGGTCGGGGTTCAGGGGAGCCGAGATAATAGGCCAGGAGCCGGGAGCCGTGACATGTCGGGGTTGTGGGTGGTGAAGAGGATAGTGGAGGTCGGGGTTCAGGGGAGCCGGGATAATAGGGGATGGTTTGATATAATATGTCGCGAAGAAGAGGTAGTGAACAGGCAGGTGAAAAATGTGGGTGGGGTGGTTTGAGTGCTAGTCGTTAGGTAGGGCGACAAAGCAACGTTGAAAGGGCATGAGGGGTTGGGATGTTGTGCCAGGTGCAAAACGGAGTGGTAAGGACCACTTGGGTGAGGGAGAAAGGGGAGTATATAGGCCAGTGGGGGCGATGGGATTTTTAGGGTTGTTGACTAGAATTACACGTTGAGGACTCTGATACCTGGTAGCACATCAAAGACGAGGCGTTGCCCACGCCATGTCTGGTTGCTCGTAGTACACGTTAAGAGATTTATGTAGATTTTCCGACTTGCTAACTCGCCTCCATGCCTCCCTGCCGCTGCTTAGACAAGTTGGCCCGGCTATGCCGGACGAGGTGCTAGGCGATGGCCACTTCCCGCGGATGAGTTCCACGCTGGTGGCTAGCAAGACCGGCCCTCCTGGACCGGTGACGAAACGGCGGAGCGCTCTGCGCCGGCCGATCGCCTCTCTCTCGATTTGTTTTTTTTTCCTAAACGTGACTCTTATGAGTCATGGCTTCAGGGAAGACAGCTACTCGCTGGTTGGTGATAGAACCCCCCAAGTTGAAGTCTGCCTAGTCCATGGCTCAATTCTGGGCCTCGCCACACCACTGTCGAAACCAAGAAAAAACGAATGCATTTTTCACCAGAAAGTGGTGAGATGCAGATGCATCCCTTGCTGTACATAGTAACGGGTGCATCTTGCCATTCTTTGCGGGAAGATGCATTATTTGTTTTTTCGTTTCGACAATGGTGTGGTGTGGCGTGGCCCAGTGTTCGATACACGTTTTCTGCTGAAAATCAGATCATGCCCTTTTCTACTGCACCTCTTCACCCAATTGGGCGCTATGAAGGCCATACTCACACAAGGACG